GCAGCAGGCTGCCGATCCTAGAAAACATGCGGAAATCCCTGGGCATCTTGGGTACTTTCGACCTTTTCACCCTCTTGTGGCTGAAGGGTCTGTCTTCTCTACTTTCCATCAAGCAAGACCCAGCCGCCATCGGCATCGCTCTCAGCATAGCTCGAATCTGGAACTTCGCTGTCGTGGGCACGTAGCCACTGCAACCCAGACCAATGTTGAATGCAGGCCCAACAATAATGATGGGTGTGAGCAGGTTTGCGTCTGATGCAGAGCTGCTTTCCGCACACCTCGCACCGGTGCTCGCATTCTTGCTTTGATCCGCCCAGATAGTTTCCCATAGCAGGAAAAAGAGGCGTATGCCGAGTCGTTCTGCAAAAACCGTAAGGGTAAAAGCCCGCTTGAGCAATCGCAAAATCATGGAAAAACATGCCCAAAACATGCAAAGCACCATGCCAACATGCGACTGTTTCCTAAAATCAAGAGCCATGCCAACATGCGACTGTTTCCTTTAAAATCAAGCGACATGCCAACATGCAACTGTTTCCTAAAATCAAGCGCCATGCCAACATGCGACTGTTTCCTAAAATCAAGCGACATGCACTGCCTAAAGTCACTAGACTCTTCTAGAAAATCACAAAGCTCAATCTCCCGTGGTGCAGGCGCTCTTGGAGCAACTTCCGCCCTAAGACCCCGAAGCAGAAACCCAAAAGGAGTGGCAGCCAAAGCGTGGCGGCCAGACTCGTCTTCTTCCGAAGTCTTTCTTCCTTTCTTCAGGATTCCTTCTCCAGGCTTCTGGGGTCCTGCGGGGGACTCCTTGCTCGATCCTAGCAGGTCGCGGTCCTTCAAGGCATCTATCTCCATATCCTCGATCCCTTTCGGGGGGCGTCTGGAAGAATTCTCTTTCCCCCTGCCCTTGGACCTCCCGCTCAGAGCCCACCAGGCGCGCGAAGCGCCCATCAGCTTGATGCTCTTCTTTCCGTTTCCTTTGTACAATCGTGATCCCGATTTGGCTAGATAGGTTTTCCAGCCCCGTTCCGACCCGGTCCAAGGCGAAACAACGTTGAACCCAACATCCGCCACCAAGACCTCTTCCCTGGAGGGCCCTAAGTTGTTTATTTAACGCCTTGAGTTGTTTGTTGACGCCCAAGTTGTTAGTTGTAACAAGGAAACGTCTTGAGATGTTTCTTGCTAGCTTGTTGTACATATTGATCGTTTCACTGGCTTGCTTGGTTGGTCGCTTGTGCGTTTTGACCGTCTCACTGGCTTGGTCGGTTGGTCGGTTGGTCGGTTGGGTGTCCTTGTGGCGTGGCTTGTGTGTGTTGCTCGCTTGCTCGGTTGGTCGCTTAAACCGTCTCGGTAGCTTGGTCGCTTGGTCGGTCGGTCGTTTGGGTGCACATTGGTCGCTTAGACCGTCTCACTAGCTTGGTCGCTTGGTCGGTTGAGTGTCTTGGTGGCGTGGCCTGTGTGTTGCTCGCTTGCTCGGTTGGTCGCTTGTGCATTTTGAATCATTTTGACAATCTCACCTCCATGTTGCCCGAGCGAGTGTTTGCAAGTGACTGCGCAAGCTGAAGCCCGGAAGCACCGAGAGCCTCCCAAGCACCGAAAGCCCGAGCACCGAGAGCCCAAGCACCAAGAGCCGAAGCCTGGAGATTCAGTGAGTGTTTGCAAGTGACTGCGGAAGCTGAAGCCCGGAAGCACCGAGAGCCTCCCAAGCACCGAAAGCCCGAGCACCGAGAGCCCAAGCACCAAGAGCCGAAGCCCTTTATGCATGGCCGCAGATCCTGAGCCTTCGCTGATTATTGTGTGCACTGTACCCTTGGTGTGCGATTTTCTGGAGCAATACCTTACAACCTCGGAGATTCGCAGGCTAGAGGGGGCCGCCCGCTCGGTGATCAATCGGGAGCCTCCATTGGTTAGGGTGTGCAGTTTGTTCTTGGTCTGCGATTTTCTGGGCCAATACCTGACACCCGAAGGGATTCACCAGCTGGAGGGCGTGAGTTGGTGGATCAGTGCTGACTTGCGCTGGCACATCCTCGGAACCTCGCCCGTGCACTCAGGCCAGTCAAGCTCTGCAGGCTCAGAAGACTTTCCTGTGCAGCCTCGCAGGGCAGGGTGAAAGCCGATGCTTTCCGCAGTTTTTGGTGACTCAAGTGACCTGCAAAAGCCCTCCTGCAAAAGCCCTCCGATCAAAGCAATGCGCAGAGGGTTTCTGCTCGGCTCCGGAGACACTGCTGCACGTGCATCGAGTGGAGCGCGGGAGGGTCGTTCGACTGGAGCAGCTGAGGCGAGCGCAGTCGAGAGTGGAGCAGCTGAGGCCACTCAAGCTGCAACGGACGCGGCTGAGATGACTTTCAATCCGCATCCCAAGAAGCCCGACAACATGACTGAAGCTGAGTGGGACCAGTTCAAGAAGAGAGCGATGGTGCAGCTGAAGCATATGCTGGAGCTGGGCATCGACACATATGTCACAGACAGCGGACAAATCTGGTCGCAGCAGGAGCTGAAAGAGCTCTTAAGAATCCACGATCAGAAGTGATTGCGGGCAGGGTCCGGGCGGAAAATATGTCTCAGAATACAGAATGCATTGCTGATTGCTGCTTGTTAGGGAGATTTGTTCTCTTGGTTGCGGCCGTGGGCACTAGATCTGCCGTGTAAGTGCTCGAGCAAGGCCCTGGAATTCCAGGGCCCGGTGCTTCTTTTGCTTCTGGAATCCAGTGCGCCGAGAGCACCGGGAGGGGGAGGGCACACTTTTCTTGGTCGATCTCGGTTGTCAACTCAGCCTGCCGCAGGTACCAGAAGCCTGATGTACAAATTGGAGCTCCTTGTTTCTTGCGAGGACCGAGCTGCATGAGTCAGAGTCCTGCATGTCAGAGTCAAGCGATGCAGTGTGGCAGCCATGGCATGTGCATCATACGCAGCCTTGGGGGCTCATGGGGGCTCCACGCAGCATGCAATGCACTTGACAGCAGCAGCAGGCAGTGCAGCAGGTCATCATTTAGAGGCGATGCTTCCCATCGCCAATCGTCGCCTTCGCAATGTACCTCCTCCGGCAAGCGCTGCTGTGGTGCCGCAGACCAGCCCGGTGAGTATTCCGGAGCATCTTCGGGATGTCATCCCGCTGACGCCGCTGGGATGCAACATCAGAGGCTTTCTAAAACCCCAAGTCTCATGCAAAGCCGCCCAGGCCCCCGGGCCCACCGCCACCGGACACCCCGCCGTTGGGTGTCGGTATGGGCCGGTGGGAGTGGGATGGCAACGCCTGGGTTTTCCGCACACTGCCGCTTCGCGAAACCCCACCATCCCTGCGGCTGGCGCAGCTTGGCACGGTTTGGGGTTGTTGGCTTTTGTTCTTGGTTTTACCTTGCTTTATGGCTTCGAACTGGCTGCAGCTCAGGAAGCTCCTGCACACGAGGGCCCAGGCGGTGCCGCTGCCGCAGACACCGGAAGCGTTGCTCCGCGGGCTTCTGGGCTAACTTTGCTGCTTCAGGGTTTCGGGGCTTTAGGTTTTTCTTCATGTTTGGGTGTTACTCAGGCAGGGATCCATGCAGCCGGTGACCCCGCAGCAGTTTTGGGAGTTGCTTGGCTGAGTAATTAGTTTCAAATTGAAATTTCTTTTAAACTTTAGCTCAGGCCGGGGCGGCGTGTGCCGGTGACACCCGAGGGTCTCCTGCTGCCGTTGCTTGGCTCAGGGTTTAAATTTATGGTGCTAGGGGAGGGCTGGGTGTTGAAATAACTCAGGATGACTCCTCCGGAGCAGCGGCTCTCGTTGCTCGGCGGATGAATCTTTACGTTTAGGGTTCAGGGGTTTAGGGTTAAGTTTAGGGGCCGTGTTCCGAGGAATGCCTTCACACTGGGGTTGGATCCGCGGCCGGCCCAGCTGCTTGGCTAACTTCACGCTTGGGTTCTGGGTCTTTGCTGGGTTTTGCGGTTTCGCTCAGGCTCACGAACATGCCGTACACCCCGCACCCGCTGCTTGGCTACCTTTATGTTTTGGGGCTTCGCTGGGTTTTGCGGTTTCGCTCATGCAGGTTGCCAATGGCCCAGCAGCAGCCCCGGGGGACGCTGCTTGGCTAATCTTCATTTTCTTTTGAAGCTTCGCTGGGTTTTGCGGTTTCGCTCAGGGCACGACTGGTGACCCCGCCATCAGGGAGGCTGCTTGGCTAACTTTAGATGCTGCCTCAGGGCTTTTGGGTTTTAGGTTTTCGCTCGCCTAGGCAGATGCCGATTTTGCGGGCCGGGCCGGAGGATGCAGCGGTGCGGCAGATCCTCGGTCGTTATTCAAATCCCCTAACCCGAAAAGTCCGAAATATGAACCCTATAAAACCCCAAACCCTAAACACAAAATTCAGGCGGCCGAAGAAGAAGATGCGCATTTGCGCCTGCTTTTCTGAGAGCAGCGACAGCGAGCCCGATGAAGCCGAGCCTTTGCTTTAGGGCCTCGGCGGTTCAGACTGAAGCCGAGCCGACCGCATCTTCCTGGGGCGAAAAAAGTACTCTCTGCATGCTGGGCTTTGAGTTGTCCTCGATCGTTGCGCTGTTCTGATTCTTGTGTGCTGCAGGACACACCGACGATCGAGCCTAGCTAGGCACGTCCGGGGCACACTCGACCCTCCGTTTGTGGTTTGCGGGCGATCCTTAATTGCTTGGGCTTGCTTGGGGTGATCACCTTGGGCTTGATATTGGTCATCTTCGTTTGCAATCGTCCGTTGGTCGCTTGTTCGGGCTGAGTCGGTTGCCTGGTTTGCTTGGTCATCTTGATTTGCAATTGTCGCTTGGTCGGGCTTGGTCGGGCTTGGTCGGTTGCTTGGCTTGCTTGGTCATCTTGACTTGTAATCCTCGGTTGGTCGGTTGGTCGGGATCTGTTTGGTTTGCTTGGTCATCTTGAGTTGCAATTGTCGGTTGGTCGGTTGGTCGGGATCTGCTTGGCTTGCTTGGTCATCTTGATTTGCAATGCAAAAGATGGGCTCCAGCATCTTCGCATTCTTGGATCCCTGTCACGCCTCAGTGCCATGACTGGGTCCTTCAGGCTGTTGGTCTGCAACCCCGACAGGACCATTGGCATACACTGGTCGGAGGATTGGTCGATGGTGTACAAAGCCGGTTGGATCCGTGTCCGGGACACGTGGCGGTCGACACTCCCGATGATACCGGAGGAGGCACTTTGGGTCGACGTCGTATTGAAGAGACAAAGGCTGGATGCTGAAGCTGCGAATACCACTGCGAAGAAAAACAAAGCGGCCCCTGCGCAGGGTGCCGGACATGCTTTTGGTGGTCCGATAATGACCCGCGGACCGAATGTTTTCTGAATCTCTAGCTGGAGATGAAATTGGAAGTTTCCTCAAGGAAGCTTCTCCATGGCCTCCAAAGCGACGGCTGTTTAATGGCCTACTCCGAGCGGCTGCAACAAAATCGGCCAGAAACTCTGTTCTGCATCTCTGTTGTGCTCGGCCAGCCGAGCGATTGATGATTGTTGTGTGCCAGGCGAACGATCGCCATGGGCTTGAGCAGACAAAGGCGCTTACAAGCACAATCAGGCCTGGCTGTGCATGCTTTAGGGGTTTAGGAGTTTTAGGGTAGACCATATCCTGCGGTCCTGGATTCCAGGACATAAAGTTTTAGGGTAGACCATATCCTGCGGTCCTGGATTCCAGGACATAAACTTACAAAACCCTAAACCTCAAACCCTGAGCTCCACCTACCAGAGTAACCTGGACCCCATCGAAAGCCCGAGCACCGAGAGCCCAAGCACCAAGAGCCTCAAGCCTGGAGATTCAGTGAGTGTTTGCAAGTGACTGCGGAAGCTGAAGCCCGGAAGCACCGAGAGCCTCCCAAGCACCGAAAGCCCAAGCACCGAGAGCCCAAGCAGCAAGAGCCGAAGCACCAAACCCTAAACCCTAAACCTGAAACCCTGGCAAGGTTAGGCAGCAAGTAGCGCCGCCTGCCAGAGGAACCCTAGCACCGAGACCCCAAGCCCGGGCTGCTCAGCCACGCTGCTCAAGGAGATATCGAAACTATAGCATGAATGCATCCATGCTACCGTTGTGGCAGTGACACCGTTCTCCTTGTATCCCCACTACCATTGCCTCTGTCGCTCTCGATAATCATGCCCAGACCAATGGGATCTTGCGAGCGCCACCTCACCAAGGAAGAGCTGGAGCTCCTGCAACAAAACATTGTGCTGCCTCCGGACGAGTTGCTCGAGATCAAGAAGGATGCGACCTCGATCTTCGCAAGATGTTCCAAGCCGAAGGAAGTGAGCTCGCACAAAAGGATTCTTGTGTTCGCGCCTTTGGCTCTGCTCGAGAGACATCACTGGGTTCTCGGGCCCATCGTGAAAATGGTCCCTGAAGGGCCGCTGTCCCCGGAATCGAGACAAGGCTGCAGATATGCTTTTTTGTTGCATCTGACATGTGGTTGTGTTATCTTCTGATTGTGTTCTATATAAGCCTGTACCACTCAGGCTGGAGCTTTTGATGTACGGCCTCCTCAAAGGGTGCACTACTGCTGAACTGCCAGCCGACAGCATTTTGCTCTTGGCACAGGATGTCAAGGTCATGCTGCAGACGCTTCGGAAGTATCGGCGGCAATGGTTGTGGTTGGCGAAGAAAACCAACGTGGATTGGCCGCCAGGGGCATCTAAGTATCCTCGTGTCTTCAGCATGGTCAAGGACATGACAGGCGATTTGGCCAAGCCAGACGGTGATGAAGATGAATGCAGCGATGGCGAGGAAATCACTTCCGAAGCGCAGGAGCTGGCGGCAATGTGGGCAGTGCCAGACACAGATGGCGTTGAAGAACAAATCCTGAAAAAGAGAAAGACTGCTCTGGAAGAGCTCCAGCAGACTACAGTGCTGCTCCATGGGAGCAGTGATGAGGAGCAGCCGCCGGAGGCTGCTCGGTCATCGAGGGATCCTGCACCGATATCGGCCCCGCCACGGGGGCCGGGTGCCTCGCAGAATGCCGCACCGATGCCGGGCCCGCCACGGGAGCCGGACGCCTCTGCGGAAATCGCAATATGGCTGCACTAAGGTTGATATTGCTAACAGATTCCTTCAATTCGATTCATCCTGACCCAGGCCTACACACCGGAACCTGAAAGCCTGGAGGCGCCCCCGTCTGCAACATAGCTGCAGTAAATGTTGTTCTGCAAATCAGTCGTATGTGTCAGGCAATTGCATGGTACATGGGTGTCAAACCTCCCGATGCTGTGGATCTTGTCCAACAACGTCGGCTAGTGGCTGAGGCGAGGGCCAAAGGCAAAGCAAAGGCGAAGGCGAAGGCGAAGGCGAAGGCGAAGGCGAATGCCTCCCGGGCCCACTACCGACTGAAGTTTCAGAACCGAAAGGGTGTGGAGATGCCTTCGGTGTACGACAACGAGGAGAATAAGCAAATCCTGCAGCTCTCCACGAAGATATATCCAGATGCCACGGAGAAAGTCCGGGAATGGGTTCGTCAATTGAATGAGGACGAAACAGACGTGGCGGCTGTCCTGTATGAGTGCAACGAAATCAAGGCGGCGAGGTCCTGATCCGGTGTGAGTCGCGGAGCTGCCTGCGATAAGAAATGGGAACGACGCTGCCACTCCGTGCTTCTTGTTGGTTGGTGAGCTGTGGTTAATGTGCCCTCGATCAGGCAGAAGCTCCTCTGCGGCCCCGTCTCGGGAGCCGACTGCTCAAGAAGAAACCTCCAGGCAGGAATATGTATGCTGTGTGCAATGGGTAGGTGGGGCTGAACATGAACCCCCTCCCGCAATTGTTGGCTCCACGAAGACCATGAACAAAAATAGGTTCCGCGATTGGCATCATCAAACTGTGCGGTCTTTTCTTCATATGATGACAGAATCTTACATAGCCGACGCCGCCGATGTTGCTGCACGCTTGGCTGCTCTGAGTGTCTCAATTGCAAAAAGTATGGCAATGCATGTGCTGATCTGAACCTTGCAAGATGAGGCGTCATGGATGTCCGCTTGCTGTATGGCCTGATGCAGAAAAAACTGCCGTGGGCTACTGGCCTCGAATGAATAAGTTGTGTCTTATTCTGTGGGTCACCTCGATCTACAGGTGTACATTGACATCGTCCTGTGGGCTTTGATCTTCCGTACACCACAACATGGAATCTATCTGGAAATATTCCAAGAACTCGACATGCTGGAGTTCTTTTGCGGCAAGGCTGGTGTCATGCTTACATGTACAGTGTACCACCTTGTCACATAGCAGGCTCGACTTACCAAATCTTTCCGATGTCTCGGGGCAACATGTCGGTGCTTTGACGTGGACCGCAACTCGTCAAATGAGATGTCCCAAAGGTTCCTTTCGTGCATGTTTGCTGTTGTCAGGTTCTAAATTTCACGACCTCGAACTGCCAGTTGGCCTTTTGGTGGGGATCCTATCTCTATTGGACGTTGTTGCTGGGGGCTTCGTTCATCTGGCCCCGGTATGCAGCAGCTTTGTATGGATCAACCTCGCCGACCATCGGCGAGATTGCTTCCATCCGTTGGGCAACGAGTCTCGAGACCATGTTCAGCTGGGCAACAAGCTCGTGGAACGCACTGTTATGCTGCTCACCCTCGCATTTCATGTGGGTTTGTTCATCCAATTCGAGACTCCTCGTCTTTCAAAGCTGGAATTGCATCCATCAATGCAGATGCTCATAACTCATCTGGGGTTACACCACCAGGAGTTGCAACGCAACTCGGTATTCCTGGGTGACTATGGTGCTGATAGTTCAAAACCCATTTGGATCTATGCTTTGAAAGAATTGGATATTCAACCTGCCCTTGGCCATTCCTCCACGACGATCTCATCTGTCACCTCGACCGAGCCCGTCACAAGAAAGACTGCTTTGATCACATAGTTTTGGTGTTGTTGTCGTGACTGAGCCCTCTGCTTGTGGTGCAATGTCAGGTACATTGGTCGCGATGGACGAGAGTTTTGTGCAGGGGGTGCAGGTCTCAAATCCACACAAGCCTATCCCAAGGAGTCGCTTGGCCGGTGGCATAACCCCAGTACTGCATGATGTCTCACCAAAGTCACCAAAATAGGTTCGGCAAATCCATGGCCCAATGGTGGTTTGACAATCATGCCGAACTACGAGAAGATGGGACCCTGTTCTTCATTAATGTTGGCATGTGTTGGCTGGTGTGTAGTCTGCCCCAGTCAGGATGAAGCAAAAGATGTCCCTCATGCGAATTGGCGGCCAATTGGACCTGGATACCATGACCCAAAGGCCTGCATCACTCCTGTGTCCTTGGCTATCTTACGCTTCTCCACTCTGCAGGCTGATACTCTTCAGTCAGCGGCGTCACCCCACCATGGGATTCGAAGACGTTCTTGCATTTTGCAAGGGACGCCTGTCGAATCAATGACGTGCATCGAATCGAAAAACTATACACATGTTGCATGCCATTGACAGTTGATGCCGGCACCGACCCGTCACGACCCGTCACGGACCCGTCACGGTGAATTAACGTCTCACACCTTTTTAGCTGTAGCGCCACCCGTCACGACCCGTCACGACCCGTCACGACCCGTCACGGCCCATCTGGAGTTGATCGAACCTTGTACTCTGCAGTCTGTTTTGTTGGTCCGAGCCCTCGGCCTTTGACACTTTTGCTGCAGTCTGCTTGATGGCAAGTAGGGTGAAGGAAGAAATTCTGGCTGCCATGAACAGCACGGACCCCCGACTTTCGGGTACTGTGATTGCCGCCGCAGCTGTGGCTGGTCAGTCAGGCGAGGTGCAGTGATAGTTTGATGTGTCCTTTATTACGTAAGTGGCATGCATCGCAGGCATGAGCCAGGACACCTTTATGGACGACACCCAACGTGTCATGGAAGCCGGTGACACACTCCCCAGTGTTGCTGCCGAACCCGGATCACAGCCTCTTGCCTGTTGGCTGGCCCGTGCGCTTAAGACTGTGCCATCGAGAATTGAATTGGCATATGTATTGTGCGTGTCCATCTTGACAGAATCTCAGGTGTTTGGTGGATCCCAACGACAGTCAGGTGTGGGGCCGGAGGGGCTCAAACATAGAGCAGGAACTGCTGGCGATGCAACTCCATCAGCATCTGTGCTGCATGTAAACACATTCGAAACCCTCGTTCAGGGTATGCTGACGGTTCATGATGTGTTGCACGCTATCTAAGACCTATTGTGCATCAGCCGCACTATCCTCCCAGCGATCTCCGTCGGTTTGTAAAAAAGGGTGGTATTTGGGAGACTGTGAGGCACCGTGACGACCTTGAACGGCAACTGGAAGCTCTTGTGGATGCACAAGGGTCGGAACCTGTCATGGGTCCGGCACCGAGGCCCACTGCTGCAAAGACCTCCTCTCCTGCCGGACCGGCTTGTCCTGCATTTTCCGCCGTTCCGGCACCCTTGCCCTCTGCAGTTGGAGCGGCCCTGCCGCCGGTGCCTGTGCTGGGCCCTGTTTTCGGAGGGGGATCCGTGCCATCAGTGTTGCCGCTGCCATCGGCAGTACCCCGTGCTGCGGCTGTTGCTACGTGTGCACCTGCTGCCACGACCACGGCAGCAATCCTTAATGGGCCCCAGATGGTGACCGCTGCGAGTGCCATCGCCGCCGTCGCCCGTCCAATGCACCCGGTGCTGGCAACTCCTTGTGTTGATGCAGGTCAGCCACCAGTGTCAGCTGCGGTTGTGCCGTCGTCACAACCGTCCACAGTACCTGCTGCCACAGCGACAGTTCCCTTATCTACGCCAGGGGCGACAACCGTGAATGCCAGCATGATTCCTGCAGTCGATAATCCGATGGAAACACTGTTTCGACCACGTGTGTCGTCGCTGCCGTCGGCAGAGCTTGCTGCCACGACCAACACAACAGCCTCGGCATCCGAGATGGTGACGACCGCTGCGAATGCCATCGCAATGGGTACAGTGGACCCTGCCGTGCATCCGATGCAACCAATGCCGACAACACCTCTCGTTGTGTCGTCGCTGCCATCGGCAGAGTCCGTTGCTGCTGCTAGCATGTCTGCTGCCGCGAACAACACAGCAGCAGCAGCACCTGCATCTGACATGGCGACGCCCGTTGCGAATGCCATCATGATGCCTGCAGTTGCCACCACCGCCCACCCCATGCAGCCGGTGCTCGACCCCAGTCCTGGTGCTGACGCAGCTCAACCACCAGTGTTGGCGTTGTCTGAGCCACCTCTGGTTGCACCGGTCGTGTCGTCGCATGCAATTGCACCGGTCGTGTCCTCACAACCGTCGGTACGACCGTCGGCGGAGCCCGTTGCTGCTGCACTTAATGCTGCCACGGCCTGCACACCAGCAATCACCGCATCCGCACATGCCGTCATGATGCCTGCAGTTGCCACCGCCGCCGCCCACCCCATGCAGCCAGTGCTCCCGTGTCGTGGTGCTGGTGCAGACCAACCGCCAGTGTTGGCATTGCCTGAGCCACCTGCGGGTACACCGGTCCTGTCGTCGCAACCATCGGCGGAGCCCGTTGCTGCTGCATGCCCTGCTGCCACGGCCCACACAGCAGCAAACGCCCTCATGATGCCTGCAGTTGCCACCACCGCCCACCCCGGGCAGCCAATGCTCCCGTGTCCTGCAGCTGGTGCAGACCAACCGCCAGTGTTGGCATTGCCTGAGCCACCTGCGGTTACACCGGTCCTGTCGTCACAACCATCGGCGGAGCCCGTTGCTGCTGCATGCCCTGCTGCCACGGCCCACACAGCAGCAAACGCCGTCATGATGCCTGCAGTTGCCACCGCCGCCCACCCCGGGCAGCCAGTGCTCCCGTGTCCTGCAGCTGGTGCAGACCAACTGTCAGTGTTGGCATTGCCTGAGCCACCTGTGGTTGCACCGGTCCTGTCGTCGCAACCATCGGCGGAGCCCGTTGCTGCTGCATTGCCGCCTGCGGAGTCACCGGCCATGTCCTCACAACCAACGGCCGAGCCCGTTGCTGCTGCATGCCCTGCTGCCACGGCCCACACAGCAGCAAACCCCGCATCCGCACATGCCGTCATGATGCCCACAGTTGCCGCCGTCACCCATTTGATGCAACCACCGCTTGCAACTCCTGTTGCTGATGCAGCTCTACCGCCTGTGTCGGCATTGCCTGAGCCACCTGCGGTTGGAGCGACCGTGGCCCACCTTGCTCCTTCTGCATCTCCTCCGCCCGTGTCCAGTTTGCCTGGTCCGGCAACCGCTGCACCGGGGACTGTTGTGCTGGCGCCTGCGGCGAACCCAGAACCATCCACAAATGCCTTTCCTCTGGTTGCGGCGGCCCTTCCGAAACCTGTTGGTGATTCCGTGGGGCCTGGGGTTGCCAAAGTCAGTGACGATCTTGCCTCGGTCACCGCTCTGGGGTGGAAGTGCGAGACGGGAATCAATGTGAAGTTTGGACCTCACGGGCAAGTTGAATTCGAGGAGTCGCTTTGGTGGGATGGTGCACGGCCAGGCTACGTGTTCAAAAAGGACCACCATGGCTTGGGGTACTACATCGACACCGTGCCAGCCTCGCAAGCAGCTTGGGAGTGCCATTTGCATGAGATGGGATGGTCAAGTGGCCCACAGCTGAAATCCGACCCCCGAACCGGGGAGCCGCCATCCGGCCCCAAAACCGGGGAGCCACCATCCGGCCCCAAAACCGGGGAGCCGCCATCAAGCCCCCAAACCGGGGAGCCGCCATCCGGCCCCCAAACCGGGGAGCCGCCATCCGGCCCCCAATCCATCCTCCGCAAGCCGCCCGCCGCGGCCCTCGAGATCCAGGAACCACCATACTCCCGCAACGCAGCTGCCAAGCTCATTGAGCGAGTGAAGAGGAATGCGAAACGCATGAGCCAACTGGACGCCGACGTCCAGGCCCTCATCAACTCGGACAAGGATGATGACCGCAAGAGGCTGCTGGACCTGGTGGTTGGAGCCCGAGGCAACATGGATCAGGTCCAGACTTCGTTCGAATTCGAGTCGAACGAAGTTGATTCCGACTTGACCAACATGGTTCCTGTGACCGTGAAAACAATCCTCTTTCACGCAAACTCTGAGCCTGCATACGTCGGTCGTAACATGGTTATTCCATGCACTCAAAGCTACATGTCCAAAAGCTACCAAACTGTTCAATCAAAATAAGGGTACGAGTACAAACACAAAATTTGATCACCCCGCCCAAATGCGTGTTGCACCTGAGCACTCGTATTTGCATCAACAACAGTACGAGTACGTTTTGCAGTAGCGGACCTAAGTAGCTAAAGGTTTTATGGCGTGTTGCCATCCTGCTAGGCTCAACTGTACACTACGCGACCACTCCATCCACAAGCTAGGGTCAGCTTGGGACGAAATGTTTCTTGACAGACGCAAGAGGACGCCATTCATGCGGGCTAATGCGCATGCTGCGCCCCACATGTGCTTTCTCTTCAAGATAGCACTCTGAAGATTGTCACGGCCTAGTTACCGTGAGGAAGCTCATCATGATACTTCCATGCGGGTTCAGGCTGCTCCACAGCCATCGAAGTTGATCCGGAATGACCAAGATTGACAGCAAAATGCTGTGTTGGCACGTGATGCACAAATGCATCGCTGCGGTATTCAAGAACACTGGCCCCCACATCCGTTCAAGCTCAAGTAGTCTATCTACAATCATCCGTCAACGAAGTGTTCCCGAAGGCTCACGCCGCTGACTATGTACAACGATGACCAATGCATCTGCATCATGAGCATATTTCAAGTGGGTCACCAGCGTCACAAGAAAATGCTGGTTCGTTCATTTCTGTTTGCGATTGCCTCCGAAGCATCGCCCACATGGCTGGTAGCCACGTTCCTTGGCCTCTGCTAAGCCAAGTCGCAGGATCTCATCAGCGTTGTTCAAGCATGTGCATCCGCGCTTTGCATGGTAAGCTTTGCCTCGCCTTGCAGTGCAATAAACATGCAACTCTGGCGTATGCCCTGGCACTGTAGCATTGCCCACACGCCCACTGGTGGATGCAACTTGCAACGGTACACCTGATGATGACGCTGATGCACCCTCTCGTGCATGGTGCTCTGCCCACATCATGCGGTCATAGTCCATTTCATTGATGACTCCTTGCAAACGATCGGTCTCATGCCTTTCTGCCACCAGCAAGAATCTCAACTTGCGTAGCTGCATCATGAGCATCAAGCACACAAGCGAAGGCACACCGCACAGGATTGCGGCGATCACACTCCATCGCCCATACTCTGGCACAGACGTGCTCGGCTCGGCACTGGTGGTCCTATACGCGCTTGCATCGTCCCTGCGGCGATCGGCCCGCAGCCGCTCAAGGCTCAGCATGACACCCAGCAGAGACACGAGGATGACCAAACCGGTCACCCAAACGCTGAACCATCTTGTCTCTGGTTCTGTCTGAACACTCACATCACGCCTTGTGCCACTTGCATCTGCACCTGCAATCAAGCTCACCATCATCAAAACAAGATTGCTGTTGCTCAAACCATTGGTCTTCAGCGACTTGTTGATCAGTCGCCGGACACGGGCTGTGTCCTTGCAGTGTTGCAACGACTCGACCAACTGATCATAGTCGGCACGGCCTACCTCCTGGATACAATCACCGGCACAGTCAACGAAGTCATGCATGCAAAGCAATGCTCTCAAGCGACTCCCAGTTGCTGGGACCTTGGTTCCAAGATCTGACGGGTTCCATCGCCCGTCGACTGAGCCAACTTTCAGTGTTCCATCTGCAGTCTTTTCCTGCACCCATAGCTTTGATACACCCTGCTTCAAAGATATCTGGCGACAGCTTGCATTATCAGTCCGCATCCAAAGATCCACCGGTAGTTCAAGCAGGTATTCGAGAACTCTTTTCAAGTAGATGCCGTCGCACGCCGCGGAGACCAGAGCGTAAAATTCGCTTTCCGTACTACTGAGGCTTACGCAGCGCTGGCTTTTACAGGAAGTATAGACGCAGCAGCTGTTCAAAAAGAACGAGCTGCTGCTCATCGAGCGGCGATTCTGCTTGTTGCCGCTCCAGTCTGCATCACAGAACACCTCCAGCAGGACTCCATCACGCGCTCCACCAGGATCGGAAGGCTCAAGAATGCTAAGCTTGTCACCTCGGGCATGCACCTTGCTTGCGTAACCTGTGGTGCACGCCAAGTACGATGCCAACCTCTGACCCGAACTCCAAGTTTGCACTGTCGGCTCTCGGAGCTTCTGAGACAGAACCCTCACTGTGAAGGCAACGTCGGGTCGATCCTGGGACACGTACATTGCAATCCCGATTGCGCTGCGAAAGCGCGCAGCCTTCGAACTGTCCAGCAACTTGCTGGTGTCGGGCACCAAAATGTCCTTTGTGCACGGCGTTGGCACTTTCTTGTGCAGTGGCACTTCAAGAAGATTGCACATGTTCACTGCATGATCAGACAACGGCTTGATCAAGATACCATCTTCAAGAAGAACGTGCTCCCTTTTAAGAAACTTAAAGGAATCCCCGGGCTTACATGCAACCTCATACGACAGCTCAAAAGTGCTTTCAAGACTGGGAACCAGTTGCTGCAAGATCCACCTCACATACCCAACAAGGCAGAGGTCATCGACGTGGATCACACCCGGATTGGAGCGATCTTTCGCATCCTTCAGCTTGTACAAGGAAGGGCACACAGACAACGGGTGTCTCTCGCGGATGTAGTCCATGATGAACGAATGCCACCTGGCCGTTCCGTCCCTCTGCCCTGGCAGCATCTTGAGGAACCGCATCCTTTTAGGAAAACCCGGAATCTTGGCCAGCATGGGACGCTCCTGTGGGACGCAAAGAAAAGCATCTTTTATGTCGAGAGCTACGACGCCTATGGGATCATCGTCTGTGGCTGCACCTTCCTGACGCCTGTTCATCTCGCAAAACAGCCATGGCAGAAGTTTCGTGGTGAGCGACGATGTCGCCGGGGCATACAAACCTTCCCGGTCACGCTCCATCCACTTGTATTCCCTTGCCACCAAGCGTGATCTACGAAAGAACATCATGCGCCCACGCCTTTTCTTTTGCCTCCACGTTCTCACGAACTTCGTGGAGAGCTCCTTGTAACCACTGAGATCAAAGCTGTCACCGACTTCCTCCAAGACTTGCTTTCCAAGAAGTCGCTTCACCTCAAAAGTGTCTGCCACGTAATCCAAGGCTGACAACTCCTCGTCACTGAGGCTTGGGATCTCCTCGAACCATAGAAGGTCTTCATCTTCAAGAAGCTTTGCCTCTTCAGCGGTAAGGCTTGGATCAAGCTCTGCATCGGCATCTTCTCCAAGCTGCACATACTGTGCTGCATCCTCCCATTCTGCGGCGGACTCCAAAACCTCATCATTGATTGGGAAGTCCTCACGGCCTACTCGGGCGATCCGCTGAAACTTTGCTGCATGGGACTCATCTGGATCTGCCTCAGCCTGTCGACCTGTGCTGGCACCTGCTCCATGGTGCTGTCGTCCAACACAGGCTGAGTGGGCAAGGCCTCTGGAGAGGAAGACAAGGATGACTCAGAGGATGTTGGTGGGTCGGTCCCCATGACTTCCATTGGTGACTCATTCACCGCAGCATGCGCAGGAGGAGGAGGTCTCACACTCGCTGGCACACTGCCTGGGACACTCGCACTCCCTCTGTCGTGGCGATCAAGAAGCAATGTGGCTCTGGAGGATGGTGCAGGGTTCGGTGGCTGGCTGCTAAGCGGAGGCATCCCCGCCATCCCCGCCACACTCGGCATACCTGATGCAACTGCCTGTGCCTCATCACCTCTGGCACCTGACACATCACCTTGCGCACTCTGCTGCTGTTCAAACACCTCATCAGCGTCCTCGGCCGGCTTTGGAACACGATTCCGTGGCTGTGGGAAAATTTTCGCTCCAAGAACTCCCAACTGGTAATTCCAAGGGAAACCCTTTCCTTCCAAAATCAAGTTCACTTCATCCGACCAAGGCTTGGCATTGCGTCTGATGGATCGTGTCAGCCAGACGCCCTGGGCATTCATCAAGATATACATATTGTTTGTTGTAGTTTTCGACAAGAATACTGCCCTATGCCATTTTCGATCCCCTTTGGATTTTCCACGCCTAAAACCCCAAACCGGTTCTCCGAAGCAAGCGAGCTTGGATGCAAAACGGTAACCAGTGGCACGCTCGAATGCAGTTGCTCCGCCTTTCACTCCGAACCTGTTCAAGATGTAACTTGCGTGAACATAGCTCCATGCCATCAAAGGGTGATCTGCACTGATGGTTTCAGCACTCAAGTTGTACTTGACTCTTACCTGATCAAGCAAGACATTGGAAAGACCTCTTACCAAGTCTATGGCCTTCTCCACATAGCCTTTTGATGCATGCGAGTGCACCGGCGCATCACGGATCATGGTTTTGAACCCGAGCTTGGTCCGAACGTTGACCACAAGACTTTGAAGAGCCAACGTGGAGGGCTCATTGTCACAGCAAAGGAAAATGCTGTTATGGCCTAAGCCTTGCACGAACCTTGTAAGCTCGATTGCACTGAACTTCAGATCCTCGCGCCCCTTGCTTGCAACAGGAAGCCCTAGCACACTGCCGGTGCTGGTGTCATGTGCAACCAGAACGGTCAACTTGGCTGCATTGCCCTGGCCCTCAGCACCTGACACACTGGTGAAGGCATAATCGAAGCTGATGATCGGGACCTCAGTGTCGGCACTCCCCGGCAGTGATTCATGCCGGTCCTCAACACCACGCATGGCCATGCAGTGATCGCACCATGGCCGGAATGGCCAATGGGTCAGCTCATGCAACTGCCTCTCGGCTTCTGTTGGGGCCTTGGTGACGGACTGCCCTCTCGGCTCACGAGTACTGTCATCTCCAACTGTCTGAGCAACTTCGGCACTCAGGGCCAATTGCTGCTTGTCAAGGTAACCCCTCAAGCGATCAAGGCAACGCTGCTTGCTCCCTGAACCTGATATCCCAGCCGACTTGCATGCCGTACGAATCACACTCAATGTGCTCTGCAAGGAAAGCTCAACGCCTTCAAACACAAGAATGTCACTGCTGCTTCCTGGCACTGGTGCCTCGCCTGTGACGCCCTCGGCATCTGGCAACACCTCCACATCCCTGTGAACCTGCGGCACACCTGGCATCGCCTCCACCAACTGTGGTGCAGAAGTGTCCTGCATGTCGGCTTCGGAAGGCTCGTAATCTGCAAGCTCATCAGCATCTGGGTCTCCAGGTTGCGGGCCAGACCAATCAATGTGCCCTTGCGTTGACCTGTGGGGTTCCACTCCAAACTCGGACAACTCCTCACGTGACGAAGAGAGAATGCATACTACATCACTCTCTCCGTGCGGTAAAATGGCCGCAAGCTCTCGCAACTCACCCCAGTGCGCGCAATGCTCAAGCAAAATCCAGGCATTATGATCAGGTGTGCACGGCTTGACCAAAGTGGTTCTGCAGGGCCACCCCACTGGCGCAATGATCGACGGATCAATGTAGTGAGTGCTCCTGCCACGAAAGTACAAGTTTCCCGTGCCTGACATTTGCCATCCAAAATTCGCATCGGCCATTTCATTGCAAACTGATGCTTGGACAAACATCACATGCCCTGCTGGACTCAAGGATTCTTGGCCAACCCTGAAAATGCTTGCTCGAACGCACAAGGAATTTCCTTTGAAAGAAATCGGAACCCTCACACTGCTGTCATGCTCAAGAGCCATGTCTGGCTGTCTGACGGGCCACCAGCCTGCTTTCATGAGCTTGCCCTTGCACAAGAGAGGCTGTGTCACTGGGGCGATCGCACAAACTTCTCGCCACACCACATGTTCCCCTGTGCTGCTTTCAACGACAAACTCAACTTCACGAAGATCGTTCACAGCAAGCGGCTCGCCTTGCGCATCACGCAGTTGCAAGTTGTGAGGACCGTGGTCGAAACCATGTTGTGCATACTCAAGAGGCAAGCAACTCATGTCTGCACCTGAATCCAAAATCACATCCAGGGCATCGTCAGCTGAGGGCAGCTCTTGGATTGTCTGAACAGCATACACAAAGCCTTTGTTGGGCTCCAAGCGCTTGAGAGTGCTGAGCTCATGCACCGAAACTCCGTGCTCCCACGATCCTGAATCATCATCGGCCGAAATGTCAAATTGGGACACCTGTGGCACTGTGCTCTGATCTGCTGCTGGCGCAGCCTGGGACACCTGTGGCACTGTGCTCTGATCAAAATAAAATGGACCTGCTGGGACTGAACTGCCTCGGGATTCCGAGCTGACTGCATCGCTACTCTCAAAAACGCACGCTGGCTCTGCACTGTTCAAACATGAACCTTCCAGCGATCGGACAATCTCAAGAAATTCTGGTGACAACATGTCGCTGCTGCACGCCTGGCCGATCGCAACCTGGCCACTGGGACCTGCTGGGCTCTGAACTGCCTTGGGATTCCGAGCTGACTGCATGGCACATGTGACAGCACGAACATGCCCTCCAATGAACCAGTCAGCGGGCGCACTCAAGTCAAACACCTGAACTCGCCGCACTGTTCCACTCGTGCTAGTCGCTCCACCTGATGTCGTGATGGTGGGCGCCTCGCTCGCTGCACTTGAAGGGTTAACTTCTGCAACCTGATGCACGCCTTTGCCTTTGCCTTTGCCATGCAGTAGCCAACAATCCTTGGCGAGATGTCCAACCTTATGGCAGTGATGGCATTTTCGCGTCTCCTTCTGTGCTTTGCCTCCCTTTCCTTTGCCTTTCGGCTGGTTGGCATTTTGCGACTTGCCTCCACCGCCACCGGGATTCGGCTTCCCGCCATTGGGCTTGCCGCCCTTTCCACCTTTGTCCTTTCCACCTTTTCCACGACCATCGCCCTTGCCGCCTTTAGGTTTCCCCTTAGCGACCCTGTCTACATCCATGGGTACGGGATCACTGGCACTATGGTCACCCGAGGAGCCTATTCCTAAGCTTTGCTGCACTTTGGACGCCGACCAATTGCTGGTCGTCAATTCATACGTCAGAATGAACTGCTTGACCTGCTCATAGCTGGTGTCACTTTTCATCTGAAGCTGAATGTGGTTTCTCAAGTGCGCCGGCAAAACCCGAAGTAAAGTCCCAAGGAGAATATCTGCATTCACAGCCGTTCCTGAGACCCTTTCATACTCCTGAGCAAGGCGATCCAAACCGTCAACCTGCTCCCTGGTCGTTTTGCTTTTCACAAACGGGGGAAATGACATGATGGCATTCAGCAGTGCAAGTCCTCGCACTTTCGATCGCGGTGCGTAGATGTTAACCAGCTGCCGCCAAGTCTCATAGCCGTTGCGGTTCGGCACTTGTCGCAACAACATCTTCGGCTTGTGCTGCAGCAGACTGCTAAGTATTGCATACAAGCGACGCGACCGCTCTGCAGTTTCAGCTGGCATGGTGGGGTTCTCTACATCAAGATTTGACTCGACTGTCTGAAGCTCAATCTCATACTGCGGGTCGGCGAAGATAAGCCAAGCCTTAAAGGCATGTGCCCAATCAAGCCACGACCCCAAGTCACTGTCATGCGAGGTGCTTCCAAAGCATGCGGGCCTATTCAAAATGCGGTTTGCATCACTAAAGCCCTGTGTCCCTGAACTCCTGCTCGGGGACGCTGCACTCGCTACACCTGCCGCTGCAAGAACAGCCTGACTTTGGCCTTGCATGGTCTGCAGGATCTGCTGAAACTGAGCAACATCAAGTACTACCTGATTTGGCACTGAACCACCTGCCGATGGCGAAAACGGATTCGTGCTCATCTGGGGAAGCTGCGGTCCAACTGCTGGTCCTGCACTCCCTGACGCTGGAGGCCCTGTCGGCCCCTCACCACCAAGATCATCATCATCTAAATCAGCCATTGTTTCAACAATCAATCAAGGTCAATCACACTGCGGCTTCCACTCTGCAATGAATCTGCACTTTGTTGATTGGGCTCTAAATCAATAACAGCAGAAGAAGATAATTGCAGGCGCTTGAACACTCCACGCTCAGGCTCACGCAATTCAATCGGCTCTGCTGGCGAATCTTTCAACTCCTGAAAACCTCGAGAGGAACTTGTCTGCTCAAACAGCTCTAGGTCCCTGTCAAACGCAGAATGCTCTTCAGTCGGGTGCACGCAACTTTCAACAACACCGTCTGGTATGGCAAACTCTGCGGTGTCCGCTGCACAAAGCCCAATGTAAGTTTCTCGAAGATCGCGATCTTTCAAGCACTTAAGGGCAAAACAATGCAGTTCAGAAATTGTGTGAAGTCGCTCAAGCTTGGTATCTAAAGCTTCCTGAAACCCGTGAAGAATCTTGCACCAACCTCTGCGCGTGCGGCCTTCTGGGCAGGGCCGCTGCAACAGCTGCTCAAGATAGAGCTGTCTGATCCGCTCTCGCAATGCTTCAGCAGAAGCTTCACTCGCCGCCGTGATTGCCACTCGGCTTGTTCAAGCAGGATATGGCTCGTCCGGTCAGGAGCCGGGATTGCGATCCTACCTAACTTCACCGAAGACGAAAAGCAGAAGAGGATTTCAAAGCCTGGGCCCCTGGACACTTAAAGTGACGGAAACCCACAAGCGTGTTTCCGAAGCACTGGTCAGCCAGTGCTCCGCTACCATGAAAACAATCCTCTTTCACGCAAACTCTGAGCCTGCATACGTCGGTCGTAACATGGTTATTCCATGCACTCAAAGCTACATGTCCAAAAGCTACCAAACTGTTCAATCAAAATAAGGGTACGAGTACAAACACAAAATTTGATCAGACCGAGAAGGAGCTTGAGCGGATGTATGGGGAGAAGACGGCTGAGGTCAAAGAACACAAGGAACGCATGGGACTGTGCAAGGATGACCCCAACCTTCCAGGAGGCAAGGTGTACCAGGTTTTCCGGGACCAGGTGACCACGGGTACAGAGCACAGGAAGAGATGCCTGACTGCAATAAGATACCCTAGCAGGCACGCATGCCAACATCGCCCTCAACCCTAAACCATCCTAAACCCTAAACCCTAAACCCCCTAAACCCTACACCCTAAATTTACCCCTGGAACCCTAAACCAAAATCACCTGACCATGAGTAAGGAACCAAGATCACTGCATCTGCCAGCTCCTCCTCTTCCTCTGAGCGACCACCTGCTGCCCGAGAGCCGCCATCCACTTTGATTTCGGGGCTCAACAAGAAGGGCATGGATGGACCTACGGACAAAAGAAAGGTTTCTTTTGTTGACAACACTAAGGGCGACGGCAAGGCCGATGACAACAAGGGCGATGCCGAGAAGGGCGATGCCGGTGGGGACGAGAAGCCAAATGCTGAAAAAGAGCCGAAACAGAAGAAGCCCAAGACTGTGAAGGTGCCTCCGACTACGGCTCTGGACCGGGGCAATGATTTGCTGACCCGAATCCTGGACAAGAAGAAGACGGCTGAAAGCCACAAAACCGTGCTAAGGACGTTGTCCTTTGCCGGGGACCTGGTGACGGAGCTGACGAAATTCTCCTCAATTTGGGAGCCGCCTGTCTGAATTGTTCTTGTGTGCATATATAACCGTTCATGCTGTGTCAAGACTGACAGCTCAGGGACCTCTATCATCGGCTCTCCGACCTCACCCACAAGAAGATCAACGAGGACCAACCATGAAACTGCTATGGACTCTTTGTATGTTAGCCCTGAATGTGTGATGATATTTGCAAGGATGCGCCGTACATCCCCATCGTGAAAAGCTATCTGGAGCAGCTGCAGACCTTCGATGGTGTCGAGGCGGCAGCCAAGGCCATGGTCAATTCGGCAAAGCCGAAGGCTAAAGCAAAGTCCACTTCGAAAGCGGCCAAGGCGAAGGCGAAAGCCCTTCCACAGGCTTGATCCGATGTATGCCTCATTCGTGAGGATTTTAAGGCCCTGACAATGCAAGTGCCATTGCACGGGCCCAATCATGGTTTGCAACGTGGGGCTGATGTGATTCGACCTGTGTGTTCATCCTGTTCTCGGATGCAACCGATGAAACGTTTAATGCTGTCCGGTTTCACGGTCCCACGTTTCATCCGGGGTGTGGATCCTTCGAAACCATGTTATGACCATGGCTTCTGGGTCTCCTGCGGGGAAAACACTGTCATCCGTATAGAGATTGTCGATTGCATCAACTTTTGTGACTTTGAGCATTGGCAGCATTGTGTATGTTCTTCGTAATGCCCGTCGACCTGCAGGGACACATATGGACGGAATCGGCGGGCCATGCCAGGAGCCTATGCTGCTTTCTCATTCTATGCGGCCACATGTGGCATGGGTTTGCCCAGGGACGCCGATGTGCTGGACAGCCTCGGATGCCAGTTTCTCGCAGAAGAGGTCGGATCTGGAGACCCTCATCCGAAAATGATACACTGAGTGCTGCTCAGAGAATCCACCAAGCACCGAAAGACCAAGCACCGACAGCCCAATCACCGAGAGCCCTGGCAAGGTTAGGTTGGTCGGTTGGTCGGTTGGGTGTCCTTGTGGCGTGGCTTGTGTGTGTTGCTCGCTTGCTCGGTTGGTCGCTTAAACCGTCTCAGTAGCTTGGTCGCTTGGTCGGTCGGTCGGTTGGGTGCACATTGGTCGCTTAGACCGTCTCACTAGCTTGCAGTGAGTGTTTGCAAGTGACTGCGGAAGCTGAAGCCCGGAAGCACCGAGAGCCTCCCAAGCACCGAAAGCCCGAGCACCGAGAGCCCAAGCACCAAGAGCCGAAGCCTGGAGATTCAGTGAGTGGTTGCAAGTGACTGCGGAAGCTGACCAGCACCGAGAAACCCAAGTTCCGAGAGCCCAAGGCGATGTCGGTGGCAAAAGCTTCTGCGATTACTGCGGCATTTGTCGCTGATGGCTGTCGCGGGGTGTCAGCGAAGAACCTAGCCGGTTCTGCCAGGAACAGGGATTTTTGGCGATGGATGAGGTTACCTTTTCAACCTTATACGGTGAAATTGCCACTTCTGGCGAGAAACTCCCTTGACAAACACATCGTGTATGAGCCCGTCGCCATGATTCTCCCGACTGACATGATCGAACAGATGTACAAGAAGAAAGCCTTTGGTGTTAGCATCTTTGGCCCGTCAGGCAAAACCAGCTTGAAAGAATACTGGCAGGCTGAAGATCAATCTTGGATAAACGATATAGGATTGACTCCAGCGGCATTCGACACCTGTATACCTATGTTTTGGCATGAGGACTCGGTGCCATCCTTCAAAGATGAAAGTTATACCTTTTGGTCGTGGACAGCTTTGAGCGAGCTGGGATCATGGCAAAGCAGAGTCTGCTTGGTTGGATTGGCATCCTCCAGGGTGGTGCCGGAAACAAGAGCTGCCATCATGAAGGTGTTGGCATGGAATCTTCGATATATGGCAGAAGGACTTCATCCCACTGTTGACGAGAACGAAATGCCGTGGCCAAACGGGTCGAAACGACAACTGAAGTCGGGAACACCTGTGGCGGGAGGATATACTGCTCGTTTTTGTTGCTGGCAAGGCGACATGGAGGCCAGAAATTATGCCCATTGCTTGGACAAGCGGCACTACAGCCACCGGACAATGATATCAGCACTTTTTTCAGATCCTTTGTGTGACAAATACCATACACAATATATGATCCTAGAGACTGATTCCACTCCCAGCCAACTAAGGATGCAAATTAATTTGCGATCTCTGCCATACCAGTGTCCAGCTTGGCATGACCTACGGCGACTTCAGGAGCACTGCCTCATGGAGAAGGTATGGTCGGGCAATCTTGGACTCCGAAGACCAGTCGCACTGGAAGGCAGTGCCTGGCTATCGGAGGTCCAGAGTGTTCCTCGACAGAATCTCGGTTGCACACTGTGGGTGGCTGATTTGAACAGCTGACCCTTTCGTTTGCTCTGAGCTAAGGCATGCACATTCTCCACCTCGGCACATTGCGGGATGTCATCGCGAGTGTGCTCGTGGACTACCTGCAGTCGAGGGACCTCCACAGGCACACATGGTCTCTCATCTTCTGCTTATGACAGAGATATCACTCTGTGGCCGCCGATCTAACTTGAATCTCTCGCTGTCTAATGAAGGTTTGTTGGGCTCGGAGATGACGCACCATTCGACGATGTCTTGCATCGGTTTACGCACGATGCAAAGCGATGGGCTCATGATCATCATCAGGACACGCTCATCTGCTGGATGCCCATGCTGCTGGCTGTCTGCTGTCTGATGTGATATAGGTGCTGCATGGCTGATCGAAGGAGCTCAGCATCAAACCGCTCAATCGGGCGATGCTGGCTCTGCCTGCTAAGTCAGAAACACCGCTGGTTTACCCGGAGCTCACCAGCAGGATCAAGGATTCGTGGCTGACATCTAGCCCGTT